ATGCACACACACAATCAAAAGAAAAAAACTTACAGAGTAAAACTTTATCCTTTCTAGCCATGAGGCATTCGAACCTGTTCTTTTAAAACCCTGCATTAAAACCCACTAACTTGTTTTTATGTCTTACTGAAAAATTACAATGGGTAGTTTAAAACTACATTAGGCGTTAGCTGAAGATGTTGGGCAAAGGGTGACGGTGTGAGTACTGCTTCAGGGATGCACAGGATGGTCCAGGTGGGAGCCGTTAATTAATCCAACTGAAGAGATCAAGCCAACCCCACATTAGTTGAACTGACACATGTGAGCAGCCACAGACCACCTCTTCCTCCATTTGCCAGTCTTTTTCTCATAGACTAATCATGCTCTAATCAGCTTTATCCTTTGTGGGTTTTGTTTTTTGTTTTTTGTTTTTTGTTTGTTTATTCCTCAGTGCTGGGACTGAACTCAGCCTTCCTCATGCTAGGCAACCACTCTCCAGAAGAATTACATTCTTGGCCTTCATTCTCACACCAAACATGACTTAAAATCCAAATATCAACAACTATATCCAAATTCAATGTAAGATTATGCATTAACAGAACAAACCAGCTAAAACGTATTTCATACCCTGCCAAGCTTTCCAAATTAATATAGCAGGCTCTAAAATAAATACCGAACACTTATTAAGCTTGCCTACATGCGTAAATAGCACAGTGTGTTCATCCAAATGGAAAACCGAGGAGGGAACGACATATCACCTGAGCACTTGTTAGAGAGGGTAACACATTTTCCTGAAAGTACTGAAGGTGTGTGGGTGGAGGGAGCCGACACCAGCTTCAGACTCCACAGGCATCTTGTAGTAGAACTGAAATAAGTGGTAAAGTTGCCATTGTGGGGAAAATCTAATTATCAGTAAAGTCAGTTTTGCTTATGAAATGAGGGGGATAATATATACATAAAAGAAGATGCCAAGCAATGTCTGAAAACCCAAACTGGCATGTCTGCAGGAAAGTAAACTGGAGCCCAACTCGATGGGTTCTCTTCAGCCCTAGTGCTGAGTGACCTAATGATGCCTGAGCCTCATGCAACTGTCACTGAGTTTCATTGACAACATAATTGTGGTTTGCACAGCACAGGGTGCCTTTTAGTTAACCAATTCAATGAAGATAAAAACACATAGAGGGAGGACGGCCAGAACCTGAATGGCCATCCCAAAATAGCAGTGCATAAAGAGAAACATGAAGGTTGACAGTCTCTTCACTGTTTCTCTACCAAAGTAAGTACACTCTCTAGTGCAGCAGCTCTCAACCTATGGGTTGTGACTCTTTTGGGAGTCAAGCAACCTTTCCAAAGGGGTCGCCTAAAACCATCGGAAAACACAGATATTTGTATCATAACTCATAACTAGCAACATTATAGTTATTAATTAGCCATGAAAATAATTTTGTGGTTGTGGGTCACCACAACATGGGGAGCTGTGTTAAAGGGTTGCAGCATTAGGAAAGTTGAGAACCAACCACTGATCTAGTGTGTTTATGACTGCCTCCTCCTCTGAGAAACGTTGATCCACACAGCGCTGGGTCACTGAAGAACCAGACTGAAGGCAGGGTGGCTCTTCAAAGTAGAAGCAACTCTAAGGGCCCACCGTCTCTGTCACACTAATTTGACTGTCATTCTCAGCCATCAGTCCACTGCCACATCTCCTGGGCCAGGTTGCTTTTCTGGACTAGGCAGAAGAGAAAAAGTTGGGAAGGAACAATTTCTCACGGTGGGGAACACTGATTAATCTAAAGGCCAGAAACTAGGAACAGAGTTAGAAATGAGAATGGACAGCAGGTGTGGAGTTTAAGGCACAAGATGTGACCATGACAAACCATCTCTGTCTTCACAGTGAATGAACCTGATTTACAACATGGGGTTAAAGCCACCTCCAGCTCAGAGCTGGACCTGGGAATGTCACAATGTGATCACAAAAAGGGTTTGGGGACACAAGGTTGAGGACAGATGGAAGGGAAGTGGGTAGTGGTGTCAAGGAAGAGCCAGCAGGCCTCTGCAGTCTACCTGCCTGGTGCCTGTGGTTGTCAGACACCATTCACCAGCTTGGAAACATTTCATGTACATACCAGTCACTTGGGCATCATGGTAAAAGGCTCATTCTGCTTCAGGAGGTCTGCAGTGGCCTTATATTATGTTTTTCCATGGAGCTCCCTGCAGATCCCAAGGACACTTGTCTGAGGACCACTCTTCAAGGAATATGTTTCTGCATATGTGTCAGAACACAGATGAGGTCCTGTATTAACAAATGCTTGAATGCTTTCCCTCCAGAAGCCAGAACCTTAGCTATTGCTTATCTCTGTGTCTACAGCCATTGTCACAGGGTTGTGCACATCATGCCCCCTTTAATCAACCATCATTCAAAAGGAGACAACACTCAAACAGATCTTAGACATATTGATCTCCTTAGGAGAGATTTGTTTAATAAACAACAAAGGCCAGATTTATAGAGCAGATACCATGTTGTCACATGCCAGAAAATGGACAAGAAATGGGAAAGAATCTACTCTGAACCATGTCCCGTGTATGTATGCTTAACTCACTCATGCCAAGCATAAGACACCAGGTATTCATTTAATCATCATACATGCCCTATCTATTAGTTTTTTAATCCCTATTTTATATGAGTGAAATCAAATTTTTCAGTAAAGTTAAGTTGTAGAGTTTAAAAAGTGATGTAGAATTTTTAAATTGGGAAGGTATGGCTATTTTGGTAATAACAATCCAAGGAAATATTATTAGCTCTGTTTTAAAAATATGAACAAATTTGCTCAGAAGCACAGTTAATGGGCCCTAATCTAGTGGTTTCAATCTTTGCCACAAACAGGAAGTGCCTAATAGTGTAAAAATAATCCCTCTCCTTGAGACACATCATTGTGTTATTAAACTCCAATCCCTAGATATATCACCAGGCACATTTTCTAAAAGTTTTCTGGAAGATCTTAATAGGTTAGACATGGCTTAGAACCACACCTTATGTGAGGCCCCAAGGAACACTACACTGTATATGCTTAAAAATTAACATTTCTTCATGACCATATTCAAGGGGCAGATGAGGTAATGAATCTCTCTTTGTCACTGGGCAACTGAGTATTGCATGCCTGCTATGCCTGTAAAATGTAGCATTGTGTGATATTAGTGCCTATGGTCAAGTGAACAGGCTATGTTCCAAGAGGGTTTGTAGTAATGGGAAAATCCTGCCCACAGGACATGGCAACTGAATTGAATTCAGAAAGAAGTAATACAATGTGAAAGCAATGACAGGGAAGAGTCTGGTGACCCTTGTTCATTTTTCCGTCTGTATTGCAAAAGAACATGGCAAATTCAGTTTTAAGACTCAGCCCTCTCATTGCAATGGTATTCTATGTTTCTGATCACACCTTTTCCAGGAGCAAGGGGCCTTTGCTAGCACCAATATGCAGGGATAAAGTTGTTTCTTTCCTAGAAATTCCTCAAGATGTTAGGTTAGGCATCAACTGCAGGTTTAGGATTGGCTGTCTTGAACTCCCACCATGCATGATGTTTAGAAACTGACTTCCTTTAGGTTGGGATGAGAGCAAGAGTAAGGGACCCTTATCTAGTACCTCCTGCAAATAATAAGGATATGTGTGGTGGAAAGAGGTGAATAGTAAAAGCCTGGCCAGGAGGGCAAAGCTAAAGATCAAGTCAATTTATGAACCTAAATTGACAGACTCCCTGATTTAGGAGAGAATGGTTAACTCATGGGTGGGGGGGTCACTACTAATATCCATAAACTGGAAATTTTTAACTGTTCAGAAATAATGACAGACACACTATTTATAAAATAATTTTCCTGTACTTTAATTTTCCATAAATTACTTCCTCACACAATTAAATGAACTAAATAAACCATTGATACAATGTTACAAACAACATAGGATGTGTATCAAAGACATTTCTTCTTTGTTCTCAATATCCAACCATTTTTTTTCCATCAACCCAGAGCTGGATTTGCTGGTTTGAACAGCAACATGATTTTTTTTTCTCACAGAGAACAATAGACTAGCTTCTATCTATTGTCTGTCATAGAGAAGCTCTCTCAGACTCCACATCTCTCTGTCCAGGTGCATTCTCTTACCAATGGCAAACCACTGCTTTGCCTCATAGACCCAGATTCCAAATTACCTAATTTTATTGGAATGTTCTCTCAGCTACTCTTTTGTTTTTTCTCCCAGTGGAGAATTAAGAAAACAGTTTCCATAAAGTCCTGTGCCTCTTGCCTCCAGATGTATTAGTCCTTTAAAATAACCAGGTTTGGAGGGAGGCACTGCACTAAATTTTGTACGTATCTTAACCAATTGATTTGGTTTCCTACATCCGGCTGTACACTCCTTTGAGTCTTACGTTTCTTTTTTGAAATATGAGTTTAAAAATTATTAACTACTTACTACATGCTAAGTGTGGTTTGTGTGGGCTAGAGATACAAGACTAAATGGGGGAACTTCTCTGTCCCAATGTAGCATACACCCAGAAGGATGAATAAGCAATAAACCAAGTGTACGATATTATACTACATGACCGCATTGAGAGAATACGGTAACAGGGGTTTGCTATTTTAAATGGGCTTTAGGAATGGCATTTCTGCAGTGCTGCTGATTGAACAAAGAGAGTCCCAAATGAGGAATGAGGATGGCATTTCAGTGATATGAGCTCCAGCAGGGGGAAAGAAGGGCCAAGAACCTTGGGGAGAAGCATGGGGTACACAGAGGCTGGTGTGACTGGAGCCAGTGGCTATGGGAGGACAGCAGCAGCAGAAGGACTTGGTGTGATCCATAAATATGGAGTGAGGATCACACTGAGTGACCTACCACCCACTTAAGACTAAGACTTAAATCTTAGCCCCTGGGTGTGAAGAGACATCACTCAAAGACTTGGTGCAAGGGAATGATTTTGAAATTTTTTAAATAGCTCTGGTGGTTTTATTAAAGGAAGGCTTTTCTAGTTGACTACTTCTCACCAGTCTGTTCTGGCATGCTTCTAACAATATCAGAGTCACCTGGATCAATGATAGCCAGTGTGCATGTGCGGTAGTATTTCCCACATGCTGTGCCCCATTCAATGTTTTTGCCGCTGTAGTGCTGGACACCGGTCTTAGCCAACATGGCATAGTACTCAATTTCAGATTTCCTCAGAGCCGGGCAGTTGTTGGCAAGAATGACCAACTTGGCTTTGCCCTGCCTGATCATCTTGAGCGTCTGTTTGTAGCTCTGCATGTACTTCCCACTTTTCATCACCAGCTGGAGACTGGAGTTGATGGACTCCAGGGACTTTTTCGTCTTCTTGGCAGCCACTATCTTCCTGTCTCAGGTGCAGAACAGCCCCCAACCAAGAGCAGCTATCTAAGATGGCCGGGGAGCCAGAAAGGAAGGAGCACCCACAAGGCCGAGCCCTTCTACCAGAGCATGCCATGATTTTGAATTTAAAGTCAAGTTTTAGACACATTAGGCTCAGGTCAGGGGAGAAGTTCCACGTGTTGTTCAAGAAAGAATTTTTTGGTTCAGAGGTGGTGCCGCACCTGTAACTTACGGTTGTGGGTTGTTGGAAGTTAGAGACCTTCTAAGTAAAAGGAACTGGGCAGAGCACTTAAATGCAAGGAGTGGGGTAAGCAAGCCTAGGACAAAGTCCTGGAGCTCACTGATTCTCAGAAGTTCGGACAGCGATGGATGTCTAGTAATGAAAACCAACTCCATGGCCTTTTAGTCCAGGAGGATAAGTTTGTGTGTTCTGAAGTAGTTTTCAAATTAAATAGAAAACATTCTTACTAATTATTTCTAATTGTAGGTCTATAGAGCCAATGTCTCTAAACTACTGATTTAGGAAGGAGTGCTGGGGATGTTGGAATTCTACTGTTGGCAGAAAACCCTCCCCAAAACTTAGATTTTTGGGGGAAGTGAATTGCAAATGTAGAGGTCAATTGTTCGATCCACACAGACAGCTTGAGGCTCCTGTCTAAACCTTAGTTCACAGCTACATCACTCTGAGAGTCCTGAATCCCACTAAGTGACAATCCACTTTGAGCATTTCTCACTCTTCCAGAGTCCAGTAGGGAGAGAGGGTTAAGCTTTATTCTTTGGTAAGCCTGGTTGAGGATGAGGGAGTAGCAGAGAGGATGGGTTAGCAAGGGTTATGATCTGAATGTGTTCCTCCTAAAACTCGTCATCTCCAGTGTAGTGTTATCAGAGCCCAGGCTTTGAGGAACCAGTTAAGTCTCAGAGAGTAGAGTCCTTGGGATATGATAGGAATGAGCTTGTTTCTTCTCTCTGCCAACCCCCCCCATGGCATAAGAAAACAGAAAACAGCTTTTTTCCAAGTCGGCTTGCTTCTTTTTCCTGGACTTGCCAGTCTTGAGCCGTTTCTACTGCTTAAGCCACTGCATTAGTCTTACTACAGTAGCTGGAACTGACTGATACACCCGGAGATGGAGAAACCATTTCTGTGTAGCCAGAGGCCTAGCATCAGCAAACAAAGAAAACATAGGGCATGGGTAAGGATGGCAAAGGCCTATCTGCCTCCCCCTCTAGAATCTTACTTGGGAGCCTTCTTTCATGACAGAGTCTCCCAGTGTGATTTTAAAGATTAAAGTTTCATCCAAAGAGTTGGGCATTTTCTCTTCTGCAGATTCCAGGTACCACACCCAGTAAAATGATATCAGTCTAGCAGCAGACAAATAGTGGTTCTCACAATGAACTAGAATAAAGCATCCTCCTCACCCAAAGCACACCCTTTGCATAGATTCTGATCTTGGATCATCACCATAGGATACACAAGTTCATCTGCCTGAAGAACGCACCTCCCTCTCAAGCATGGAACACAGGGAATGGGTAAGCTGCAGCTGATTGACTTTGAACTCACCTGTGTATGTGTGGTGAAAAACTCGGAAATTGATTTTGATTTCCATCAAGCAGTGTGTCTTTTTTTTCCCTCCTCCTGAAAGTGCAGTTTAAACAGCTTTATTGTCAGAGTCCCATGCCACATCCTCTGATTCTATAATCTTCCTGGTTTAATGTGCTTTGAAATGTTCATTTAGCAGATATTTAGTGAACACCTACAAGGAAACAGATACCGAGCTGGGAACTGGCACGGGGAGAAAACAAAGCAGGAAAACACCATTGAGTGTGTGGAGCATGCATTATGCAGAAGAGAGAGAGTGAAAATGTAGACGGAGTTTGTCATCATACCTAGAATAAGTCATGTAATAAAAGTAATCTAACAGAAACTCAGGGAGGTCACTTGATGGTGACTGGTCAGAAATGCACACTCTGAAAGACTGACCTGTGAACCTATGGATGAGACAGAAACACCTGTATCAAGGACTTGGAGAAGAGTCCTGGTGCAAGGACAAGTGAGCAGAGTTAGAAAGGGAAGCAGACTGGCATGGTCAGGTAATAGGAAAAAGCATCTATGGACAGAGATAGAGATAGAGATAGAGATAGAGATAGAGAGAGAGAGAGAGAGAGAGAGAGAGAGAGAGAGAGAGAGAGAGAGATGATAGATGCTGCAAGACCATTTCCGACACAGAAAGATGTTCCCATTTGACTTTCAAGGGAGACAGAAAGTTGTAGCATGAAAAATAAAAGACCCAGAGACTGATAATTGGGGTTCAAGGTGAAGATTAGAAAAGCAAAGCTCTAGTGATATGGTTTATGATTCATTAAAGCCACTGGAGATCAAAATAGCAAAGCAGTCATACTAGTTAGTCATAAAGGCAGGCAGTGGTGACACACACCTTTAATCCCAGGACTAGAGAGATATAAAAGATAGGAGCAGGGTTTTCAGTTGTCAGTCTCAGGCATTCATTCTCCAGCCACATTGAGGATAGGAAGGCATGATATTCTCCAGCCACATTGAGGAGAAGCAGCAGTTTGAGTCTCATGAAGCTCATGAAGACAGGATTAGCCCTTTCAGCCTAAGGTAGAGTAAGAGCTAGTGACTTGACTGTTTTGATTTTCTGATCTTGAGCTTGAAGCTTGAACCTGGATATTAGTCTCTGGGTTTTTACTTTTCTGTTATACAAAGCAGCCAAGCCACTATCTCTTACCTCCAATAGCTCTAACCAGGATGCAGACTGCTGCCTCTCTTCAGTATGGCTGGAGAATGAATGCCTGAGACTGACAATTGAAGACCCTGCTCCTATCTTTTATACCACTCATGCTGGGATTAAAGGCATGAGCTCTGTTACTCTTTTAGACTGATTCAATCTCTTGTAGCCCCGGGTGGCCTTGAACTCAGAGAGATCCATCTGCCTTTCTTTCCTGAGTCCTGAGATTAAAGGTGTGTTTCTGGCTTCTATGGCTAACCAGTATGGCTGCTTGGCTATTTTGATCTCCAGTGGCTTTAATAAATCATAAACAATATATCACCACAGAAAGTCAAACTTTTTCAATGAAATGGACACTTTGGTGCAGCTTACATTTTCCCTTGAACTGTTTTATGTTGAGGCAACTGTAGATTCCCAGGCAACTATAAGAAATGAAACAAAGACTCTATTGCCTTCTTACAAAACCTCCATACCAAACCACTGCCAGAATATTGACATCGGCACAACCCACTGACTGTATTCAGATTCACCCATCTCTACTTGTATCCACATGTTTATATCATTCTATGTGGTTTTTCAAGGAAGTTTTTGGTTTACAAGAAAAAATGAACAAAAAACCAAGTTCCCTTATGTGCCTGTCTATTGCTTTCAGGCAAACCCAACCTACCCACTGTTGCTGGAGTTTCTTGTCCCGCCTGGCCCCATAGCTACTTTGTCCCAAATAAACACATAAAGACTTATATTAAGTATAAAACTGTTTGGCCAATGACTGACTTCTTACTGGTTAGCTCTCTTTTAATTATTACCCCATTTCTATTAAAAATATGTATTGCCACAAGGCTGTGGCTTACCCACAATCCGGCATGTTACTCCTTCAGCAACAGAATGTCTCTCTGCAGCCTCCCTCTGTCTTCCTCTCCCTAGCCTTCCCCTGGTCTGGTAGCCCTGCCTATGCTTCCTTCTTGGCTATCAGCCAATCAGTGTTTTATTCATCAAATAATAAAGAATATATATACAGAAGGACAACCCCCATCAACACACCATCATCATGGCCCACCAGAGTGGTACATTTCTTCAACTGACAGAGCTTACTTTACATCATATTCATTTACACTCCAGAGTTTTCCTGAACTCGTTTCAATTTGTTTTATTTTTTGAGACTTTTATACATCTACATCATTTCTACTCCCCCTTCTCCCCTCCAGCTCCTTCCATGGTCCTGCCACCCTTTCAAATTCATGACCTTGTCTTTAATTATGCACACACACACACACACACACACACACACACACACACACATTGTTGTTCATTTGTACATGCATCAGCCACTTGTGAGTCAGCCCTATCAGGGACTTGTCACTGGAGAGAACTAATTCTCCTCTTAGCAGCTGTAATTGTCTGTAACTCTTACTCTCCAAGTGGGGCTTTGTGAGACTTCCTTATTCATTTGGCATGTCAACTGTTATAGTCACTGTGTGGGACTTGTTTAGGTATAGTGTATATTTTATGAATTTTTAAGATATATGTACTCATCCTTATGAATGGTTTCACTGCTCTAAAAGTCCTCTTATCCAGCTCACCCTTTTCCTAGAAAACATCAACATTTATGGTCCCCACAGTTTTGTGTTTTCTCCGTCCCATGTCACAGAGTTGAGCTATGCAGTATTTAGCATTCTCATGCTGGCTTCTTGCTGTAAGATTCCTCTATGTATTTTTGTGACTTTACAGCTCATTTCCTTTACTGTTGAATAATATTCTGACATCTGGATGCACCATACTGTATGTACCAATTCACTGCCTGAGGAGGGCATTCTTTTGTTTTGAGGCAGATATGAGTAAAGTGAATATAGCTGTTTTAAACATCTAAGTGACCTTTTTTGTAGGGCATGTTTTCAGCTCCTTTTGATAAATACTTTTGACCACAGTTGCTGGTTTCCATGTTTAGAATATTCTATTTTTGTCATTAAAAGTAAAATAGAAACTACTTCACACTGGTTCATGCTGGCTTCTAGATCTAGCATTTTGTACCCCTAACCCATCAGCAGATGCTTGCTAGCTGTCATATTATCATTGTTTTGGGTTTGGGTCATTATAACAGTCCTGTCTAGTGATAACTCATTGTTGCCCTAATTTGCAATTCCCTAATGGCATGGTGTTGAGCATCTTTTCATATGCTTATGTGCCATCTGTATGTCATCTTTGGTGTGTCCATTTGAGTTTTAGTCTCACTTTAATTTAGTTCTTCATTTTCTTATTGTTGAGTTTTAAGAGTTCTTTGAAAAATTCCAAGAGCTATCTTTTATCAAATATGTAGTTTGCAAATATTTTATCTCAAATTGTGGCTTTACCAAATGTCCTCTAAACACAGGCAAGGTACTGGTTAATTATTATTTCTTAATAATTAGTGAATATAGCCTACCCTCTCTTGGTCCTTCCTGACCTCTTTCTCTTACACACACTAAGCTGTTCATTTCATTTAAAAAATGAAGAATGTTCTGTAAGTAAAATTAGAGTATAATCTTAGGACACTGGCTTGTTTCACTCAGTATGTAATGCTCTCAGGGTTCACCCACATTAGTCTTGTGTGTGTGTGTGTGTGTGTGTGTGTGTGTGTGTGTTTGTGTGTGTGTGTGTGTTACACGTATATTTCTTTCTACTGATGAGTAATGTACTGTAATATGGCTGAACCATAGTTTGTAGAATGACTGTCCACCACTGAAGGACATCTGAGGTAGTTTGCATTTTTAGATATACCAAATAAAACTGTGAGTATTTAAGAACATTTTTCCCCTATAGACCTACGTTTTCATTTCTCTGGGATGAATGCTCAAGTATATTTGTCAATATAGGGTAATTACATGTTAGTTTTATAAGAAATTTCAAAGGTGTTTTGCAAGGAGGCCACACTCTTTCACATCCGTATCAGCAATGAATATAAGATCTGATTTCTTCTAATTCCCTCTCAATCTGCACGTTTTCACTATGTTAACTTTTATTCATGGTGGTACCTCAGGATGATATCTCACTGTAGCTTTATTTTGTGTTTCCCCGATAGCTAATAGTGTCAAGTAAGTCCTTCTCTGTTTAACAACCATTTGCATATCCTGCTCAGTTAGTATCTGTTCCTATATTTGCCCATTTTTGGACTGGATTTTTATTGACAATAATTTAGGTTTTAAAGTTCTTTATATATTTTGGATATAGATTACCTGATAGTAGATGAGTGATTTGTAATATAGTTTGTGGCTTATGTTTTTGTCTAACAGAACCACTTGTATAACAAACATGATTAATTTTAATAAGGTTAAAATTTAGCATTTTAACGTATCCTGTATTTGGTGGAAAATATAAGAAAAATTTATGTACTTTGCCACCTCTCCCTTTTAAATGGCATATTTAGAACAGTTACATTTAGTGCAATGTTTCATGTTTGAGCTTAACTGTATTGCTTTGTTGGCTACTTTTAAATTTGTTACATGCACCTGCCTTTCTCTTTTCTTGTCTTTGTGTGGGCTATTGAATAATTTTCAGAATTGTTATTTTATTAGCATTTTGGAGTATACCTCTTGAGGTAGTTTTATTGGTAGCTATCTTACAGTTTGCATCTCTAAAGGGTTGCAGGTATCTAAAATAGTTTTGAAGGCATAAATATTAGAGGAAAGGGGATCAATAAGATTATTGATATTGTTATAAATTTGAGATGATTCCTGCTTCCCAAGCCAAATGCCTGAGAATCAGCTTAAGTGTTCTAGTCTACTCACCATACCTCCTTCCCACATCCTAAAGCCCACATTGACCTCTTTCCACTCGCCATCGTAAGCATCCATTGCTCACATCTCTCTGATCTCTCCTCCTCCTATCTTAGCTCAGACTGTCCTTATCTCTCCCAGACATTGGTTCAACTTGCTAATTTATCTCTCTTCCGTCATACTGCCTCTACTCAAGTCTCTTCCTTACAGCAATGACAATACTGCTCAAACTTAACCTTTATCATGGCACATTTCAGGTGACCAACTCCCCAGCTTTGTTCCTGGGGATGATGGCTTCCCTGAAATGAAAAGACTTGCAAAATTAGAAGTGGCAGTTTCAAGAGTACTAGGTCAGCTGGTGACTGTGGTCTTATTGACCCTTTCAGGTCTCTGTCCTCATGAGATGGGGTTAATTCACTTATGTGGATTTGAAGGTCTCGTTACTGCTTCTCCCTCCGTTACAGGCCCATCTCCTCTGTTTTGTCATGGCTTTACTTGGATACTTCTTATTCCTACACCTAAGGTCCTCTATAGTGGATATTCCTCTATGTGCTTCGTTCTCACCCTTTTCACCTTCTGGAGTCTTTAATGTCCTTTTATTGAAACACTTTTGTCTGGAACCTTCAAGAGTTCTAAGACTGCATGTCCAGTTTTCTCTTTTTTTGCCTACCCAATTCCAATTCTTCATAGAACTAACTCCAAGTAATTTCCCCATCTGGCCACTATAATGTTATTGAGAACAGGAGCTGTGTTGTACTTTGCCCACTTTCTAGACAGTCTGGGATCCAGGAGGTCCTCATGAAACAGCCATTGTCAAGATAATCAATTTCATGAGAATTATTTGAGGCCTTAAGGGCAATTACTTCCCCAAAAAGTTTATTTCTACATGTTACCAGTGTGTTTTAGAGCCATATGACCAATTAAAACTTAAATATTGATACTTAAAATGTTTGATTTCACTGGTTCCTTTTTTAAAAAAATTAAATTATCAGAAACAAAAGAAATGTTAACCATATAGTCATTAGACATTTCCAGAGCAGTGTGGCATTTTCAGGATTTTTTTTAAAGAGCTGTTTCTGCTCACTTATGAGAACTGCTGGGGAAATGCTTCCAGGGAGCAGGTCCTTACTTCCCTCCATGGCACTGTGGCTTCCTTTTCTTAGCATCAGACATGAATGCTGCCTTTGATTTTCCTGAGGCTCTAGAAATAACAAGCCAAAGTCTCTCTCTCTCTCTTTCTCTCTCTCTCTCTCTATCTCTCTATACACTCACACACACACACACACACACACACACACACACACACACACACAGAAACTGCCACTTGCCTCACAGTACTCACACATCTCCAACAAGTGGCCCCCAAAGCCTCAGCTGCAGACATCTTTACATCCTGACTTTAACCCAGAGGAAACGTTTCTGAACAAGGGTGGATAAGGGATTTCAGCACAGGACTGGGGACTCAAATGCTAACATGCAGGGTGAGATGGTGTGGGAATCACTATCGTGATTATAGCACTGCAGACAATCAGAGTGAGACTGCAACCAGGAAACAAGGCCCAGGGCCAAGCTGCCTTTATCTTACTAGCCAAAGCAGGAAGCTTTCTGAGAGTCCTTTAAGACAGCAAGGAAATTTTCCCATCCAGGAACACCTCGCTGCCTTGTGTTTAACTTGGCTCCTGTTTTCATTAGCTGACATCTTAGGGGTAGTGACTGAAGTGTAAAAATGCAGAAAGAAGGAATGCCAATGATGAAATGTATACAATGAACGTCTTGGAATTTCCCAACGCATGATTTTCAAAGAGCCACAAGATGGCATTGTCTGCTATGGGACTGAGCTCTGACACAGCAAGAACTGACAGCAGAGACCAGAAGGCCAAATTGTTTCATATTCCTCATTTGTTTTCAAAGGCCGGCCTTCTTCCTGTTTAGTGTGCTCTGTGCCCACGGTGTGTTGAGTTATAAAAGAAGGTAAGTGACTGGAAACAAAGATAGGCAGCCTGGAGAAGGGTGTTGCAATGATGTAAGAAGTAAACATCACAACAGGGTTTGGTGGGGAGATAGCTGTTGCTTTGACTAGCTACCACACCAGATGCAAAGATTCCGTTTGCACTTATACATTGGTGTAAAGGAGATTTAGCTCTGATGTGGCTGTAGTTCAAATGATTCTGATATTTGTTCAAAATAATCACCTGTTGAATATTTTATTCTTTCTCTTTGATATCATATATCCACATACACAGACTATTATAGTTCTGTCACAGTATGCATAGGATAGAATGGTGCCTTTTACCTCAAGACAGTGGCTGTGGTAACCTAACATAAGACAAATGGAACATGTTCATAACAAGTCCCCTGCACTTTATAAACACTGCTCATTTGAATCCTCAACAATCTCAAGTACAATGGTGTAGACAATGGAGCTGAGGTTAGCAACGTATTCCAAGATCAAAAGTGGTACTCTATGATTTAGCCTTAGTAAATCTGTTCCAACGGGCTCAGGGATTTTGCCCTGTGCCACACTGTTCTTAGACACTAAACAGCAGAACTAAACAAGCATGTGAGTTGTCCCTTCAACTGCAGCATCCCTGTCTGTATCAGTGTGATGGACTGCAGCTGCCCATGTCCAGAGCCATGATAGGCAGGGCCATGGGTGCCCCATATTTCTGTTCTTTAATGTTCTGGTTGAAATACCTGAGCAATAGAATACAGGCCATCATTGGATAATCTCCCTTTTACTTCAGTGGACCACAAATGGGTTTGCATTGATCATGCAACAGAGAAAACTCTGGCTATGAATCATTATTTTTCCAGTTCACTCCATGCCATGTTCAGTGCATGCATGGTCAGTGTCATACATAACAGGCCTTACCTTAGTTTAAGAACCTATAGATGAGGAAAAGGTGACAGTCTGAGGTGCCTTATAAATAAGATATGGTCCCTGTTCTCAAGGGACTTAGAGTCAAATGAGAGTTTTCTAAGTGTTATGAAAGAGGTAGGCAGTGAAAACTAAATGAACAGAGAGAATGCTCACTCTGTCTCTGGGGTTCAGTGTGGGTCAGGGAAGTTTCCTAGATTTGGATGCATCAGGCTTGAAGAATGAGTTAGAGGGGAAGGGATTAGCTGGATTATATCTTTCCCATATTTCCTACATTTCACTAGACACCTTCTCAGTAGGAGATGCTCTACCCACTCTCATCAGATGATGATTTGAAGGCATAAGGGTGCTTTTTCATCTCCCCTTCCTTCAGGGGTACCTTATTTCTTTCCCTGAGAGACTCATATCTAGAGATTTCATTATCTATACTCTATTAACTTTGGCATCAACTGGACGTGGCTAGTTGATGGAGATGATCCTACTAGCAACAGGAGAGAGCAGTAATTACTACATACAGCCCTTGCGGATGTTGTAGTTATGCCTGGTGCTGACCCCACCTATGACTATGGTTTCTGTTGGAGGCACAGACTTAACTATAACTATCCTATAGCTATCCTGGGAAGCCTATTTGCACTCATTTCCTGTTGCTTGTCCTAGCATACCATAATGGCTCATGTTAGCTACTTACTCTGTCAGTGCTATGCCTCATTAAATCATTATTTCAGCCAAAAATGTCTTGATGAATCCCACACAAAGAGGGCACATAACGTTCAGGGGACCCTGGCTGATAAAGGTGAGCAAAAAGAGATTTAACTATTCCCACGATTATCTTTGATAGTACCCAACCCAACCCCTGAGAGAGAGGAATGGGAGAACGTTTAGTGTCAGTGGACTGAATGACATTTGCAGAACCATTTCCATTTCTAGCTCCTCATAAAAGATGGAATCAGGAAGGAATCCATGACTATGGGTAGAGTGAATGAAATGCAATCCACTCTAGCTAGTATTTCTTGAGTTCTTGAGTATATGTTAATGGTGTGCTGGCAAGAAAGCTCCAGAGAAAATAAGGAAAGTCTTTCCTTAACAAGCTCATAGTCTGGATGAGAAAGAAACCTAAATCACCAGATTAAGAAGAGGTGGTACTATCTAGTGTACCCTAGGTTTGCTATAACAACAAATCAATTCTGAAGCCAAGGAAAGGTTACCTTTCTTTCCTGTGATGTGTGTGTGTGTGTGTGTGTGTGTGTGTGTGTGTGTGTGTGTGTGTGTGTGTGTGTGTGTGTGTGTGTGTGTGTGAATGTATGTGTATTTAAGCAGAAGGGAGTATAAGAGAGGAGACAGGTGACAGAGGAAAAGAAGGAGGGCAGATAAGGGGAGGCGTAGAAGGAAGCTAACAAAATGTGATATACGTGGGAAATTTTTCTACATGAAACTTGACACTATGTAGAATGAACACATACCAATTTAAAAAGGAATGCAAACAAAAATAAAATGGAATTAATCTGTTAGTAGAGAGAATGCAGAATGTTCCAGCTAAAGAGAATGATGTGTTTAAGAGTAAGGTAGTGAGGGAAACTGTGGAGTGTTCAGACACAGGCATACCTTTTTGCATAGCTCAGACCCATGAGAACAGAAAACATGGGAAAGTAAAGCAGAGAGAGAGAGAGAGAGAGAGAGAGAGAGAGAGAGAGAGAGGGTGTCCGGGTAGCCAAAGGCAAAGGCATTATTCCCCACACTTAGGATTAGGATTTAGTAATTTACCCTAAAGGTTGTGAGAAAACTGTAGGATTTCAAAGACAGGGAAAGTAGCATAAGAAACAAAATAAGACTAAGGAATATTAAAATTGAAAACAATCCTCCTAGAACAAAATGTATTAGGAGAAGTAAAATAAAGTGTGAGTTTAATCTAGGTACAAATAGAAAAGACAAAAAGGAACTGGGTAATGATAAACAGAATACAGTGGACTTGGTTCTGTGTCATCATGGGGAATTGAAGAGTGAAGAAGATGGCACTCAGGACTTCTGACTACTGTTTCTTCATGGAACATGGTGTCATTTTGTAAGCTAAAGAATGTAGAATGTGATTTATTGAAAGGCCAGATACTCATTCAGTGTGCTATGTGACAAATACAAGACACATCTCCAAGTGGCCTTGCACAGACTAGTGTCCGCACATTGTCACTTATA